TGGCAGATGTTTCCGCCTGGGAGGAAACATCTGCTTTAACGTCTCAGTCACTAAGACCTGGTTAAGTGGCCAATTAAATTCTATCTTTGTGCCTAAGCTCTGTCTATCTCTTAACCGCTCTCTGTTTTATACCCTGCCTTACTTGGGTTCATTCTTCTACTAACTGCTTACCTGAACGGTCGTGTCTGATTCCGGCTAGTTCGCAATTTTGGCTTTAACGTTATTCCGCTCTGATAGCGGTACCTTGCTTTCTGTTAAGCGTTGTGCTTTGTACTCTTGAAACCGTTAAGGTTTGTTGTATATATAATTATTGATTTGTTTATTAATAGTACCGTAGAAACAGTGACCGGCTTCTTGTTTGTTCTGGACCGGGATAGCCTTTATCTACGCGTGACTTAATTTCAAGCGATATTGCGCTTACACAACTATTGTTCCTATTATGCAATCTTTAGTTTGAACTCACTAATCTTCGCAAACCTTAGTTACCCCATATGAATAATCTTCACTAATCAGGAAACCATTCCATGAAGAGTTGATCTTCAGTAGTGAGCACGATCTAACTGAAATTTGACTGATAGAATTCAGTCAATTTACTCTCTAAGGACCAATATCAATGTATTCATTATTAAGGTACTCAAGGAGATCAGTCATAAGTTCGTATAGTTTGGTGGTGATGCTTCCCTCTCTCTTTGGCAGTAGCACTGGTTTCAAACCAGTCCCTGCGAGACTGCAAATACGCCTTGTCGATAGATACCAGGGGATAAGAGATCTATTTCTAACGGCCTCCTACCAACCGCCCCCAACCAATTCACACCAGAAATAAAATGTAAATCAAGTAGGGCAGCAAATAAAAAGAACGATAAAGACAATTCCCTTTCCACCTCACAATATCATCATCTCAGAAGACCATCAAAGCTATACGACTGCTGCTATCATTATTATTACTATACATAATAAATATATACACTATATTAAAAGTATGATAATACTTGCATTACTCACCAATATGTATAATATGACCACTTTTGTCAACCATAATATTTCCATTATGACGATCTTTAATTTGTATTAAATAACAGAAGACACTATAAGCAGCCAAACTTAATACAAAATTTCGACGAGCCTTAATAAAGAAAGAATGAAAAAGGAAGAATTACACATACTTCATTGTAGCTGTAGTCAAATTGAGTAAGTCTCATTTTACAGATTTGTAATTGAAATGGAGAAAAAAATCAAAGGATATGAAATGGCACTATGAAACGCAAATGTCCATGTAAATTTTCTCGAGGAACCAACATCAGTTATCGAATTATTGGAAAATATGCAGCACTGGAAGGTTTTTCCTCCCTAATTTGAGACTCTTCCCATCCATGATCCCATCGAGTGTCGAGTGAGGTCAACACGTTGACCACTCCAGCCACTGGTTTGGAATTCATTACTATTATTATTGTTCCCTTAGGTTCCGAGTGGAACATAGGGCACCACCAGCAGTACGTCTCCACTCTGTTCGATTTTCTGCTGTCCTCTTTAACTAAGTCCACGATTGTCAATAGTCTCTCATCTCCTCTTTGCACTATCTCCTCCATGTCACCCTCACATTGACGACCCACTCGTCGTTTCCCAATCGGGCTGCACTCAAGGGCATTACCTGACGTGCGATTCCATTCGACGGTCTCCTCAGCGTGTGTTCAATCCGTCTCCATTTTCCTCTGCATATTTGTTGAACAATCGCCCATAGTGGGTTCGTTACCACAGTTTCTTGAGGCTAATTCTTTCTGGCCATCTAGTATTCAGTGTGGAGTCAGCGACGGCAGCTAAAAGTTGTAATTTAATGACCTTAAACGACTTCAAAACGTCGATTTCGCGGTGACGAGCACTGATGAAGAAGCTTGTGATTAAAAAAGAAATGGTAGCAGCTAGGCAGTAACAACCTAACTTGTGTATTATGAAAGAAAATGTGATCAGTCTTTATTTTGTTTGGTGGTATCTGACAGTGGAATCCAGGATGAACATTTCTCCCTACTTCGAACTCGTCAGTCAGATTTACCTCGGTGAGTGGTGGTGTTTCCACTGAAACTCACACCCACCTCTCATCATTTCAAACACATAAGAAGTGGCTGTAGTGACCCATTTAACGTGTCGGATAGAGACTTGGCTTTTGAAAAAATGACTGCTGAGTTGCAGTCTCAATGGGGATAGCATCACCAACCCGACTAACAAGTCCCAAATAAGACGATATGTGCATCCTGGATTCTCTGTCAGTGATCATCCGCCAAATAACATCATTTTAATTCCTCAGACATGTAGAAGCGTCTATATCAAGAGCTGTCATATTAACAACAAACCAGATGACTATATTGTGAACGTGTCATTGTCCTTCTAGACAACATCTTTAGCTTGATTAAAATATGATGTAGAAGATTTGTATTTCAGGTGGATGTATTTTTGTGTGAACATTTGAAAAGATTGGTCTAATAGGAAAATAAGAGCTTTGCAAACAAACCATCCAACTGAGATCACGGCAATATCTAATCAAAAAAAAACAACAGCCTAAGTTATAAATTTTTCCCATCAATTCAGTAGTCGAAGTTCACTGAAAATTCAAACATAATTCCACTAATATTGGTGTAGCTGCGATTTATGATCTGGTTGGCGAAGCTTTCATCTTCATTGTTAAATTCAATAGGAATTGACATTCTAAAATCCCTCCTCATGAGTGTAATAACCGTCTATTCTTACTATGTTGAACGTGATTCATTGTCTCCGGGAATTTTCTTACTCGCTTATTAATCTGTATTGGTATTGAGTATCTTTTTTTTCACCTAAAACTTGGGATGGCTGGACAACTGTTTCGTCCTCGTTCAGCACTCATCACAGTACGCACCCTTCGGGATTCAAACCGTAGATTTTCCGGGTACCTAGCCTGTCACATGCTCTGATGGTGTTTTCGTGACTTTCTTTGTCAGATCTGCTAAGGGTGATACGATAGTATGCCACCTAATGGATGTGTGCAAGGTTTGAAGAAGGCTGTATGCCATATGCATGTTCCTCGCCCTGATAATGTTTTCTTTGTAACCAGAAAGTCCTAGGCTCGGACCCCAGTGTGTGTACCCTGCTGAAGAGTCCTAAACTAGGACGAAACAGCTGGCCAGAACTCCCTGTTGGTTTTCCAATAGTTCTGTAACCGATGTCAGTACATGATGAGATCAAATCCATGCAAACCAACACTTGAACTTGATCTTCTGTTCATGTAACCTTTTCAATGCTTGATAAATCTGATCCAATATTAGTGTGTCTGCTGATTAAATAATCACCATGGACAATGCAAATGAATAAGGTGGGGGGGGGTGGTGGTAAGAAAATCTCCGACAATAATGAATCACATTCAACAACATACGAAGAGATGCTTGTTACACTCATAAGGAAGCTTAAAAGTTCGCATAGCATTAAAGTTTGCAGCGAAGGTGTATAGTCTAGAAAGGCAACACTGCAAACTTTGCAACCGAACCATCAAGCTGACAGAGACAGACAGAGATTTGACACAACAGCTCGAGTAGCATCCACTTGGGCTACAAGTCTTTTTCATCAAACTCCTTATGAAGATTGATAATCGATAAACAACAATCAACACAGCAGTCAATAGTCAGACAATCTGAACTAGTTATGGGTTGATGCAGGATGATGACAGCAGTAAAATGGGAATCCAAATCACGAGTCCGGCGCTCCACCTGCTGACAGTAACCTGACTTGCAGTTAGACTTAGTAGCTTATCAGCTGATAGACTCCTGAAGGGAGGTTGTTTGCTGAATGGGGTCCTACCGTCATGACTCAGATTTTTATCTTACACTTTCAAAATCATTAACAACTCTACATAAATTTTTAAAGAAAAAAAATATTTTTATTTTCATACCAATTGATAACTGGGCGTCGTCTCATCTCCGTATATACTTAAAAAGTATTCATATAATTTGCCATCAGTTTGACGTCCAATTTGATCACGTGATTTACTGTCTGGTACACATTCAATGACACCACGCTAAGAAAAAAAGAAAGAACAAGCAACAGGAGAACAATAACACCAGCATCAAGAAGAAGAAGAACAACAACAATTGCTGCATCAAAGTAGATGAGTCCTTTACAATTGTGTATCGAGTACCGAACAATCTCCCGACTACAACTCCTAGCCAAAGCTGAGGCTATAGTGATTAGTAGAGAGAGACCAGACCTATGTGTACAGAATAAACTTATTCACTCTTTCTGTCTACCCTGGCCCACTATAAGGTCACCAGGATCATAATTTTTCGTATTATTATTATCATTATTATCATTTTATGATATCATGTCCTTATTATCCATTTCTTCACCCAGTTTATTTCACCCCACCATTACCCTTAATTTTTGTCAACCTTTGTAATTTTATACTAAGCCTACCAATTCTGTAACATCTTATTACAATTTACAATTTAGCCTCTTTATTTTATCATTAGACATTATCGGTCAGCCCTCACATTCAGTGTCCCCTTTGTTAATGTGTGTTTGTATTTATTTTGTGGTTATCGCATTTCTCTCACCTCAATGACGCTTGTATTCTGTTGACTATAAAACAGCACTACATCACCTCAATTGTTCATTCACACTTCATCACATTTTTTCTGACTATACAAATTTGAAACAATTAGTCCCTTTGATAAATTTGAATAAGGCATTAAGAAGACAAATTTCGCGAGATGATATCATTTCGTAGTTTCTTTACAACCGCTTTACAACTAACATGGTTAACAATAATAAAATAAAGTTCATGACAATTACTCAGTTAAATAAAAAACACAAAAGTACATACTAATGACCAATCATATTTAGATAGGTCAAGTAGTCCAGGGTAGGCGAAGATTGAAGTCTATTGATTATGGACTAATGGACTATCATCTCAACTTACACATGCACCCCAATACAGTTTCTGATATTATTTTCATTTGCCTTTATTAGCCATATAAATTGTACAATTAGTCATAAGAACAATGTTTGGCATAATACTAGACAGCTTAGCCAACCACCGTGTCACTACTGAACATCTCCCATCATGCTTTGGTAAAGAACAGACAAAAAACAATCCGTAGCTCAATTTTGTCACATTTAGTGGAGAAAACGATAGCATTCAAGGTGATCAGTCATCGTATCCCACCGAATCTTTCTAATAGACTTCGTATTCGTCTACTGCACATAGTTGAGGATATAGGCATTCGAACTATTAAGCCTGAACTATGCATTCAAAGAAAGTTCGTACAATCACTTTCTCTCCATTGGCCTATTAAGACTTAACACCAACAACTTATGATGTCTCCACCAGCCCTTACTCTTATTTTCAATTCCTCTCTTTTCATCCCCTAATCTTATCACATATTCATTAAAACATATTTAATTTCCTTCCCTTACAATCTAGCATTACGTAATCGGTCCATTTGTTTTTCTTAGCCTTTATCGAATACTATATCTACCTGAACATTTATTTGTTTATTCATGCTGTGTTTTCATTATTCCTGTTATCACAGATCGTCTCACTTTTTCATCTTTGCTACTGATAGAATCATTATTATTATTAGGATTATTGTTATCATAACTAATGGCACGATTGATATGCCCAATCATTATTATTATCTTATAAACAAAACACCATGATTGGTTTGCATTTGAATATTAATATGCGAAATTATGTATAATAGAGTTAAGCCTGATGAGACCTGATTGAAAGCACAATATTATTTATCATGATAAAAAAGTTTTTTATATTTTCCAATGAATGAAAAACAAAACGATATTACTGTTTTTACTGACGTTTCGCTAATTAATGCTGCTGCTAATAGATATATCAAAGTATTATTAAACCAGAATTGGATGGAGGATTTTGTCATGAGCTGACATCAGTTAGAGATCCACTGAAAACCAACCGGGAGTACTGGAGAGCTGTTTCGTTCTAGTTTGGGACTCTTCATCAGCCTGCTGATGTCAGCTCATGGCGAAATCCTCCATCCAATCAAGCTAAATCCCTAAAAACCCGAAACTGCAAAAATTAATCTGATGCTCACTAGCTACTGGCCCTATTAAGGAAGTTAACCTGGGGTTCTAGTGGGAAGCCCTAACCAGTAGGGTACAGTAGGGATTGAAGGTGAGGCAGTAACTCGTCGAAGAAGACATTGCGAAGTGGTCGCGCTATGTTGTGAATTGGCAGAAGTTGGAATCCATGGGTTGGCCGCTGGATCGGTTCCCAGTGGCTCAATGGTCTACGAGCTCGCCTAGTAACCAGAAAGTCCTGGGTTCGAACCCCGGCGGGTCTGTACTGCTGAAGAGTCCCAAATTACGATGAAACAGTTGTCTAGTACTCCCAGGTTTTCCAGTGGTTGTCTAACTGATGTCTGCTCATGATGAAATCTTCCATCCAATCAAACTTAATCCCTACAAAACCAATACTTAAACAAGAATTTACAAAATCTCAGCTTATATATAACAACTTAATCATCCATCGTTCCTCAGTATGGGGTCATTTTTCATTGTCAGATTGGCAAATTGGTATATATAACAAAACCAGGTGTAGACTGTTGGCTTTCATAAGTGCGTTAAATTGTAAAAACAGCATGTGTTTACATAATGAAATTTCTTATCATATACGTGTTTATTTTGTCATTTCAAGGGGGAGATGGGATGTTGTAACCAGGTCAAATTATGTTTTAGTCCATCATTCCTATTCAGACAGTTTGGATTCCATTTGATGATATGAAGTGCTTCTGATGACATGAGACGTTCTTTGTGATTTCTGAAATCTTTCTGGATTATTTCAATATTGTCAAAATCAATTTTGTGGCCTGATTCTATAGCGTGTAGACGAGCTATGGCTGATAATTTTTCAAGCTTTTCTAGTTCAGTCGGATTTCTCGGTGGTCGAACAGAGACGGCTTTACGGTGTCCATTTCTTCTGATTTTGATTTCGCTAGATGTTTGTCCGATATATATCGCATTACATTCCAAGCATTTTATTTTATAGACACAATTAGATAGAAAATCATTAGGGATTCGGTCTTTTATATGGACAAGGTTGTTTCGCAGTGTGCCTGATGTTTTGAAGAAAACTCTGATGTCGAGCTTATTGATTACTCTTTTCATAACTATCGTGTGACGTCTCCGTTCTAATTGGAATGACAACTGTTGATGTCCATGTTTTCGGAATACGTTTCCAAACATAATGAATGTTAGTGTTGATTTTGTTGATGAGGTTCTTTGGGTAGTTGTTTTTCTTGAGAGTTTCAGTAATGTTTGATATTTCTTCTTCTTTTTCTTTCTCATCCGTTATCAAAGAGTGTGCTCGTCTAAGAAGACTTGAAACAACTGATACCTTTGCGCTGATGAGGTGTGATGATCCAAAGTCTAAATATTTGTTGTTGGAGCGGGTTTTCTTCTTGAATACAGACATATTAAAATATCCGTTATCCCTCCTCTTAACTAGGCAGTCTAGTAAAGGTAGTTCACCGACGTCTGATTCTGCTTCCGAAGTAAACTGGATTCTGGGAGATAGATTGTTTGGTTTCTGCAAGAATGAATTGTGTAGATCTTGTTTTAGAACTACAAAAGTATCAACTACATATCTTAACCATATTTTAGGAGTGGATATGCTTGAAAAGATGTTATCTTCGAATCTATTGGGGAAACTGGTGACCACATGCTGAGGAACGATGATTAAGTTGTTATATATAAGCTGAGTGGATTTTGTCAATTCTGGTTTAATAATACTTAGATAAAGCTATTAGCAGCAGCATTGAATAGCGAAACGTCAGTAAACACAACAATATCGTTTTGTTTTTTATTCATTCATTGGGAAATACAAGAAAACCTTTATTATAATGAATATCGTATACCCAATGTTCAAATTTTTTCAAACTGTTAAGAGTGAACTTGGTTTGGACATATATAACACAATATTATTCGTTAATAAAATGTGTTGTTCCATAATTATTATTGTTACCATTTGTTCGTATGCAAATTTTTAACATTCCCCCTAGTGTGATATCTGTCCAATTCTATTAGTGGATTATACATTCGACCCCTAATCATCTCTATTTAATGAAATTCTATCCTTTTCTCCAATTTTTCGGTACAAATGACATGGTTAAAAATGAAAGAAGATAACCTCATTAAAAGTAGTATAAACGAAATGAATTAAAAGTCAATCTGAACGAAGAATATTCTTTTCACTAATTTCTCCTCTTCAGGTTTATACGATTACAAAATGTAATATTTGTTGTCGCTGCAATATTAATAGCCAGTTATGCGGCGGATACACTTTTTTTAACGTAGAATAACAGATTAGCAGTTATGGGATGTCAAAATAAATCATAGTATTTGTGTCAGAAATGTCTTGCTAGGCTGAAATCGATTACAAAATATCGTGAAATAGGAGACACGTCCAGAGGCTGTTCCTACTGTAGTCAAACTTGAGATTAAGGCTATCGAATTTTCCATTTATACTATCCCGACTTATTATTAGTGATATTATCTCTTTTCTCAATATATGCCTCCATCTGTTTCATTTCATACACTGGTTACTTCATGATGAACTTCTCATTGCAGTCTTACTATCTCCTGTTTGATACATATCATTTGTACTAGCCACTCACCTGACACCTTTTACAGCATTGAACTGACGTGTCAATTTTTCCTATTGTTCCTATCCAGTATAAACGTTCCCTAGTGAAATGTTTGTTCTCATGGGACCGCAAAATTTGTGCGAGCGACATATCGATGGATGAGCTTCAACATATACACTCACTTTTATCAGCTAATGATTATTCAGAAAACTTTATCAGTTGTCACAGTAAGGATAGACCACATGTCCCAAAGAAAGCTACCTTTATTAGCCCACCATTCAAGGGTGATCAAATTATGCAGTTGACAGCTCTAAGACTTCGGTCAGCCAACAAACACACATTCTACGCCGCATCTCTTTCTTTCACATGCTGAACATTTTCGATCCCCATGCATACAATTAAAAGACGAAATTCTGTGGACTCTACTTCAAACTGTATCTGCGCCGTTCACCTGCAGTTGCAATGACACCTATATCGATAGAATCAATAGAACGTTCCAATGTCATCGAAAAGAACATGTTCCAAAATCGTTATTAAAACATGGAAAATCTCAGCATCATCATCCATTGCAAAACACTTATTAATGTCAGGTCACAAAATCAATATTAATGACTGTTTCTCACATAAATCTAATTCAAGGTTATTGAAGGTGGTGGAAGCACTTTGGATTAATCACATGCAGCTTGAACTATGTGTACAAAAAACGGTAAACATCAACCTTCGCCTACCATGGACCACTTGACCTATTTAAATATGACTGGTCATTAGTATGTGTGTACTTTTGTTTTATATAACTGAGTAATTGTCATGCCTTTTATTTCATCTTATTATTGTGAACCATGTTAGTTGTAAAGCGGTTGTAAGGGAACTACGAAATGATATCATCTCGCGAAATTTGTCTTCCGCCTCTTTAATACATACCACTTTGTACTAGCCATTCACTCACCTGACACCTTTTATAACCTTGAACTGACTTGTCAACTTTCCTACCCCACACTCCACAAACTTATTATGACTAATCACTAACATTGTCTCCCAACTCACAATTATTTGTAGTCGATTTCGGCCTACCATGTTTGTCACACAAATACTATGATTTATTTTGACACCCCACAACTACTAATCTGTTATTCTACTTTAGAAAAAAAGTGTATCCGCTGCATAACTGGCTATTATGATTGTAACGACAACAAATATTATAACTGTTTTATAATTGTAAGAACCTGAAGAGAAGAAATCATTGAAAAGAATATTCTTCGTTCAGATTGACTTTTAATTCATGATATGGGAAAATTTCACACTGTTAAATATTATAGACGAAATGGACTACGCAAAATAAGAAATTGAAGTAAAAACAATGTATACTACTACAAATACTACTACTACTACTTCTACTACTACGACTACTACTACTACTACTACTACTAAGAATAGACAGACTTACCCCTGGTGACGTTGCTACCACTCTATACGGATAGACAAATAACTCCAATCCGCATCTTTCAAATATATTTTTGAATAATTGAAGAATTTGCAGTGCTAATATATCCTAATAATAAGTGGGTGGGGGAGGGGAGAGAGGGTACAAAAGAGAAGAACATTAGTCATAGAATGAAGAAACAAAAAAATAATACACTGGAGAGATTTATTGAATGAAATTAACAGCATCATGGATTTGATTGGTTGGAGGGTTTCATCATGAGCTGACATCAGTTAGAGGAACATTGGAAAACCACTAGGGAGTACTGGACAGATGTTTCTCTAGTCCTAGCCTAGGACTTTTCTGAAGTACGCATTCACCGCCACGTTCGAACTCAGGATCTTCTGGTTTCAAGGCGAGCTCGTAGACCATTAAGCCACTGGGACCTGCCAATCCAATGGCCAATCCATGAATTCTAATTTCTGCCAATTCATGACAGGGCGAACACTTCGCAATGTCTTCTTCGATGAGATACTGCCTCACCTTCAACCCGCTGTACCCTACTGGTTACGGCTTTCCAGTAGAACCCCAGGTTAACTTCCTGAATAGGGCCAGTCGCTAGTGAGCAGTAGATTAATTTTCAAGTATTGCTTTTTTGTAGGCAAGCAGTTAACTTGGGATTCTATTGGGAAGCCTTGACCAGTAGGGACCAAGAAAACACATTCCCTACACAAAAAAACCATTACTTCTGATTTGATTGCATTCTCTCAACTGAAGGCTGGTTGTATTATGAAGCAGCTTTTATTGTCGGAAGGAAGTCCTAGGGCCATAATTTGAAGAACACCTCAAATTCCGAGCTTATATGAGCAGTTGCATCAGCCGTATTGGACTAATTAATAGCTGACAAAATTTCTGGATGTACACAGTAGGTTTGTTTGGCACTTACCAATTTATGTCATCTTTGGAGTAGACCTGATTTCCGGCTATCGAGCAAAAGACGTGTATCCTTAGCAACAGTTTGCTCTATCTTCTTGTATGGCTGTGAGATGTGGTTGTTGAAAGTGGAGGAAAAACCTGAGGAAGCTAGTTGTCTTTCACCAGAGATGTTTGTGTTCTATCTCCCATTTCATATGGTACAATAACAGGGTGGATAATATTGAGAGTGTCAGGTAAAGAGAGTAAGTCAATTAATGAGGTTGTGAAATCTGTGTTGATTCAGACGGTTAAGGCACATGGTAAACATGCCACGCCTTCCTTCTAGAGCAATCTTAGCTAACATAGGATCGAATTAGGAAAAACTTACAAGCGGTCAAAGCAAAGCTTGACATCTATCTATGAAGTCAGTGACGATAGATTTGAGCCATATACGGAAGTGTGTATACTGGCGGATTGAAGTTCTCAGAATGGTAAGGATCAATAGCTGGAGACTATTGGTTATACATATGGTTCGAAATCGTTCTAAATGACGCAGATGCATTCATTCTTTGTAATCATCTTCCAGATTAAGTCTTCAAGTCTCTCCATGTGATTATTTCTTCCCCAGTATATATCTGTTCATTACAACTGAACTGCTGCACTTCTGTGTATAGTTCAGTGTTGAAACTCAGTCAGTCGGCTAAACACTCTGAGCTATAAATACTCTCCAGCATTACACTACAGGCATATAAAGACATAGTCAAGAATGATACTGAAAGGTTGAAAACTTGGCTCATCTTATCGGTAAAAACGGGAGAGGAAGTAGACGGTGTGAAATTCGGTTTAATCAAACCAAAGACTAAGGATTGCCTATTTTTACCGATGATATTCCTAGTAGTAGTGCGTCGGTGGCATAGCGGTTAGGACGCTCGCTCACCATGCATATGGTTCGGGGTTCGATCCCCGGCCGGCGCACTCCTTTACCTCACTAAGCCAGAAATAAAACTGGTGAAGACGAAAGGTTGGGCATGAGGCTAGCAACCCCATCCTGTAAAAATAAACACTGCTACCGAAACTTTAAGCCTCTAGATTGTAACCCTATGTTCCACTGGGGAACGTGAAGGAATAAAAAAATTCCTAGTTGTGGTGGATTGGATTATGTGTCAGACTGTGCATGGAGACAGAGAAGACAGGAATATACTGTAGTGATAAGAAGACACTAGAAGATTCGGATTTTGCGCTTAGATGATTTGTGTTCAGTGTCACACAAACTCGAAGACTTGCAGGCGAAAACCAACAAACTGGCTGAAGGAGCTGGCAGTGAGGACAGTACACTAGGTGAACATAAAGAAGACCTAGGTGATGAAGATAACCAACCAATAGAAACAACAGACAGCACCGATCATTATCAACGGGAGAAATTTGAAAGAGGTTACTTCCTTCACTTATCTAGGAAGCATCTTTTCAACTACAGACGACAGTATGGTTGACGATGTCAAAGCCAGAATCGGAGATGCAAGATACGCCTTCATCATCAACCTAAAATCAGTTTGAAAATCTCCTGCACTCTGTAGCATAATGAACAAAATTCGAAATTTCATTATAAATGTTAAGTCAGTTAGCGTTTCTACGTGGTTCAGAAACTTGGAGTGCGTGTCACGAAAAGGATTTCCGACGGGTTACAGACTTTTATTAACAAATGCCTTCGTTGGTTCCACATTGAAGATCAAATTGCCGGTTAGAAAGAATTAGCAACTAGAAACTCTGGGAACAAGCCAATGAAGAACCGATTCCTCCGCACATATATGCAGAAGAAAATGGAGATGGATTGGGCACACACTGAGGAGACTGTCGGATGACATCATGCACAGGAGCATCGCTGGTGTAGCCGATGGTGAAATGGAGGAGATCATGAGAGGAGGAGATGAAAGACAATGAGTAATTGTGGGGGCCCACCAAACAGGATCACGGAGAATAGGACAGAGTGGAGATGTAGTGTTGAAGCCCTATGTTCCACTCGGAACCCAAAGGAACAATAATAACAATAATATATAATAAATAATATATAAACTAGCAATCTATACTTACCTGTCTAACATCATCACCCACTTTGAAAATACACGCTTGCATAAATACATGACCTAATTTTGATGTAGTCGGCTGTTTATCGTCAGTGGCTAGTTGATTACTTGTACCTTGACTACCTCCAGTGACAGGCTGACGTGATTTGACACGTGAACCAACCGTACCATGTTTACCGGAAACAGTTGTAGACAAGGCCTGCCTGCTTGGACTATTGGAGGGGTTTTCTTGGTGGCTATTACGTCGTCGTGATTTTATTCCTGCTTGTGAAAACATTTTCCTGTTTATCGTGAAAATGGTAGTAAAGGAAAAACGCGAGGTAAAGAAATCGTATACAATTACCAGGAAATAAATTCATTGAAAAACAATTGAAAACAACTTAAATAATAAGTAGAATTTAAACGAGAGTGTTCTTGTGTCTTGAGATTTTTCAAGAATATAAACTCTACAATGTTCAATCGAGTGTCTTCAAAAGAAGGATAAATTATTCTTCTACTACCTGGAAGTATCTTGGCTCTTATGTTAATTTAAATCACTTTTATGGGGACAATTACACAACTACTACGATTTGCTCTATTAACTCTAGTCTTCATGAAAATTGTGTAGCGTGATTAGAATTAACCATAGGATAATGTTATAACGGTAGAAGACGGGAGACTTTATAAGGGAATTTTTTTGTACTTCGGTGTCTACATTTAACGAAATTATGTACACCTTTTCTTCAACGCACCATTTGTACAGATTCCCGTGTTGTGCTACTCCTGGCCTTCATATTGTGTTTTTTTGCGTTCCTTTCACGTCTTCTGTGCATCTCCAAAACGCCGTATCATTTGCTTACTCTGAAATCAAATCTATCTCCCTGCTATCTGATGCTTTTATGCCAATGAACGTCTCTTTATATACTAATGATAAATCTTATCAGTAGCTAACGCCACAATGTTAGTAAATACTTTGTGGAGATGTCGCTCTGGTAAGCTCCAGCCAATGAGACTTAGATTCGAATCTCGTCCTATAAACTCCAACTTGGGTAACTGAGTATTACTGTGCCTCATGGCCCCCGCAGCGGGTAACCGAGTTCTAACTAACTAACAAGCATCTCAATGCTGGCCCACTTAACAGTTATAGGGTACAAGAATAATGAACATTCACTATTCCGTACTATATTGTAACAGAAGCAGTAAATATGGAGACTTTCTAAACAAATTCTTTTGTTTAAAAAAGATTCACTTCCAATCTTTTCAGTTCGCATAGCCTTTACCCTATCCGCCAAATTGTATTACTATGATTCATCCAGTGGGTTCTGAGTCGAACACAATATTTGAGCAGCACATCGTTACTTCACTCTGTTCTCTGCAGTCTTTTTGAGCTGGCTTCACGATTAGCTATAAGCCACAGTTTCCACCTCCTCCAATTCACTCTCCGAACCACACCCAACTCGTCATTTGCCACTCAAGTTCCTTTCGACAGCCAGGTTTGTGATGTTATACAACAGTCTTTTCAGTGTATGCCAGATCCATACTCACTTCATTCTGCGTATTCTTTTTTGGCACTAGGCTCTTGGTTGGTTTACTGAGAGATTTTCTCTTGCTCTATACCTCAAATACGACTCCCATTCTAACTATTATAGCTGTACACATTGTCTTATTTTGTGATATCAACATTGAAATCAAACGTTTAGCTACTTTCTTAAGCTTTAGTTTCCCTCGAACCTCTAGAGGTTCCTCTAGAGGAACAGTACAGAATCCACCGAAGTCACTCTGGATACTATTTGACAGTCAGATAACCTACACTGTAGTTACTCAATCCAGTGATATGATACATGAGTCTTAGTAAGGTTATTTCGTTGACGTAGCACGCTGACAGGTGGACACATGATGGTGGTTCGTAAGCATACTACTGGACGTCACTTAATTAGTACAGGTGAATGGAGACTGACAATTTCATTTTTTTTGATATCAAGAGGTGAATATATTTCGCTTAGCAGTAAAGAGTTTAGTTTTGCAGGAGCATGTGATTGACTTTGAAATTCGATCACGAATTGACTTCAGTAAGAGAACCAGTGAATATTAGACAAGTATTGGATAATTGATATAAGTATAAAACTTGGGCACTGTGGTAGAGTATAATTCCAT